GCAAAATTCCGTCATTCTTTATATTAGTTTTTGTATGTATTTTTGTTCCTTAATTTTGTGTCGCTGTCCATTATTTTTGAATTGTATGTGAGGTCATCGAAATCAAGCGAATTCCAGTTCGATAGCCATAATCACTTTTCGAGAATATTCGTCCACACATCATAACCAAACAGCATCGCTTAACTCCCATTGGTTGATGAGATATCACAAAAAATGTAAGTGCTCTCTCATTTTTGGCGCGCACTGTAAGTCCGGGGTGGTCCTATCTAAGGGTTATCCGTATAAATCTGAATTATAACTCCGACCGGTGGAGTTGCTCTTATAAAGGTCTCTATTGGAAGTTGATTTTGAGCGCCAAAATTCAAGTTAACTGTAAGGACTTGAACGATTCCTGTGGTTATTAATGCACTGTATATACCGAACGACATCTTGCACCGTATTTGGTGAAGAAACAAATTGTTGGGGTTGATGAGAAGACATGCGGTAAAGAAATGTGGAACAGAGGAAGTACAACGTACACGTAGTCTGTAGTGGCACTACATATAGTACAGTTTTGTAACAACGAACGTTTCGTACCCACCACGCAACTCCTAGTTGAAATGTGTACCACAGGTGTCATACTAGCACTGGGTTAAACGCGTATAAACACTCATGGAGTAGAGTGTCTTCAACAGTGGCCGAAGTTTACAGTTTTGGTCACTTTGCAACTTTTGTCGGCCTACATACTCGCACTATGATCCCCATATCTCCTGCCTCCGCCACTGTCGTGTATACGTTCAACCCCACGACATCCGGCGGGGTTGCCGGCACTATCACCACCCTCGTGAGCACAGCAGCTACTGTGATCACTGCGGATTTGGACGTGGCCAAGGCCAACTGGACCGCATTGAACACCGCCGACGGCAACTGCACCAACGTGACCGTGACCGAATACACGTGGCACATCCACACAAAGTAGGACAACCCAGGCAAAGTCTCTGAGCTCACGACTGGTTGCTTGTTCGCCAAGACTGGCAACCATTCAGACACCGATTATGCATGCGGCCCCAACTCGGACCACATCAAGGAAATGACATGCGCCCACAAAACGTACGGATGCAACACGACTTCATATGCCGAGGCCCCGGGGGTGTGCGAAAAGGGTGACTTGTCCGGCAAATTCGGCACGATGAAGGCTGTCAGCGACAAGATTTCCGAGACGTGGAT